CTGTGCTTTGCTAAGCTTGTTCTAAGTAGGTGCTTTAGACCACTGAGCCATCTCACCAGCCCTCAGCCCTTAATTTTCAAAACAAGTTTTGTTCTCACTTGATTCAAAATTCTAGTACAGAGGGTCTGGTTACTATAATGGCACCATATGCCTGATCTTTAGCTATATTTCTAAAAGGATCTTGACTAGGAATGTTTGCAGTTAAGATTGCACAGAGCCGGGGATATAGTTCAGTGGCATAAGTGCCTGCCTGGCAAGTGCAAGGTCTTGAGTTCAATCTCTGGTACCACACACACACACAAAAAAAAGACTGCACATGGTATAGAAGATGGAATTTCCCCAAAGAAAACTACTGTTACTTAGTGAGAAGACAGAATATATATTCTGTCTTCCCCAACCAAACAAACATAGTAACTGCCCAAGGTCCTGCAAAATTATGGTTCTGAGGGCCAGGGAGATAGCTCAGTAGAGTAAGTGCTTGTCTGGCCAAGTGCAAGGTCCTGAGTTGTTCAACCGCCAGTACCACAAAAAAAAAAAAAAAAAAAAAAAAAAATCATGATTCTGGAGTTTTGGGATTACAGGCATATTATTCAACCGCACTCAACTTCATCTTTTCTAAAGTAGTTCTCCCCTGCCTCCCATTATCCCTTCTACCAATTAGAGGTACACCACTTATTTTAATTTCCTTATAGCACTTTTTGGAGTAGCTTTACTTATTATCTGTTACCCCACTGGGTTAGACTTCATGAAGATTGGGCCAATGTGCATTAGACCACCAAAGATAAGTATGAGAGTACATGGCAGGCATCATGATCTCTTTAAAAGGCAAATCACCTGTTACTCTTTAGCTGAATATCCTATAATGCTTTCCACAACAATTAGATCAGAATGTAAATAAATATCTACTACAGCATGGCCCATTATCTATCTTACAGACTGCAGCCTTTTTTGTTCTGTTGCTGCTGCTTTTGATTTTTGAGGCATGGGTCTCACCATGCTGGTCAGGTGGCTTGGAACTTGAGATCTTTGTGTTTCTGCTTTCAAAGAATTGGGACTACAAGCATAAGCCACTAAACTGCCTTAACTACAGCCAGCCTTTTGAGAGTTCTTAGCACATGTTAAGCTCTCCCACTTAATGGCTGGAATATTTTTCCACAGGTTCTTCACAAGACTAGGTCCTTCTCAGCCTTTAAACCTCAGCTAAAATAACATGCTTCCTAAAAGTAGCATTTCCATCACACTATGTAAAACTTTTTCCCTTCTCAATTCTTTCTTTTTGAGATCAGAGTCTCGCTATGTAACCCAGGCTGGCCTCAAACTCACAGCAATCCTCTGGCCTCAGCATTTGGAGTAGCTGGAAAATTATAGGCATGTACCACTACAGCCAGCTAAACTTATTTTATTTCTTGCTTATATCACCTTTCTCCCATGAAGCCAAAGTAAATCTACATTATAAAACTATTACAATGCCTAATACCAACTCAGATTCAAATATCTATTAAAAGGGGAAAAAAAAGATAATGTTTTCTCAGGTAATTTTTTTTTTTAAGAAAAACTAGTCCTCCCTTATCCCCATCCCCTTATGATGACTATTATGGTCTGAAGTAAAGAAAGGTATTTAAAGTAATTTCAATTTGTAGGGTGGCGCATGCCTATAATCTCAGCATTTGGGAGGCTGAGACAGCAGGACTGCTACAAGTTCAGGCCA